AAACTGATACTGTCACGTGTTGGTGAGGATGTGGAGCGACTGGAACTCTCTTAGGTTGTTGATGGCAACGCAAAATGGCACAGCCACTTTGGAAAGTGTTTGGCAGTTTGGCAGTTTTTAAATAAATCTCAGTGCTTTTTGAATTGAGTGTTAGCAACATTTTCTGACCAATAATAATAATAATAAAAATGAAACTAGCTTTCACAAAAAGTAATTTATTGATTCATAAATGAAAAGTCTGGGAGCTGTTTGCTTCAGGTAGGGGTGGATCAAGATATTCAAATAATGTCATTAGGAAGTTAGCTTTCCTAAGCTCTCTTTGAACTGGGTTGGCCTCAACCTCAGGCAAGCTTTCGCCCTGTGGTGGGCCCCACAGCTCCAGACTGTCACATTCACAGCTCCAAGTGTAGTGGAAAAAATCTTCTCTTCCCCTAAAAGTGCTCATGAGGGGCCTGGGACCAATTCTCATTGGTTTAACTTTGGTCACGTGGCCATGGCACAGTGTAAGCTGATTGGCTTATTCTTGAGTCATGTGCCCCCCTTTGGAGCTACGGATGGAGTCAGTCCCATCTGAACCACATAGACTGGGTTCACATGGGTCACATGGCTAATGAAAAACCCAGGGATTGAGTCCAGGACAGTCTGATTGTAGAGCCTTTGTTCCTAGCCACTTTTCTACCTGCCTCCAGTGTTAGAAAACAAATGCATGCCCCTTACAGAATATTTGGAAAGTAGAAAAAAGAATAGAAAACATGATTAAAAATGACTCAGCAATGACCACCATAGACCTTTTGGTTTATTTCCTTTCAGTCACTTAAAAAAATTGTATATTTTTCCTGAAGTATTTTATTCTGTACCATAGTTTTTTATTGCCTTGAATCATCTCTGGCTCTTTTTCAAGGCCCAGCTTGAGTCTTCAAATTCCTTTATGTTGAAATATAATTCCCTGCGTAAAAGTACTCCGTAACCTGCAAATCCCTGTGCAGCTCTCAGCTCTTCTTCCTGTGATAGAGTTCACTCTAATTTCTGGATTCCTTGCTGCTTCTCCAGGAGCTGCCCTCTGGCTCGTGGGTCCCAAGGCCTCTGGTGAATCAGCTCTTTCTACTCCAGTTTCTTTCTTTCTTTTTTCCCCCTGCTTTTTTCTCTCCAAATCCCTCCAGTTCATAGTTGTATATTTTAGTTGTGAGTCCTTCTAGTTGTGGCATGTGGGACGCCGCCTCAACATGGCCTGATGAGTGGTGCCATGTCTGCGCCCAGGATCCGAACCCTGGGCCGCCAAAGTGGAGTGTGCGAACTTAATCACTTGGCCACAGGGCCGGCCCCCTCTACTCCAGTTTTTCACACTCTGGAGGACATCAGAAATCCCCAAGGTGCTAATTAAAAAGGCACATCCCAGACTCTACCCCTAGATATTTTGAGGTAGAGTAGGTAGAGAAGGGCTCCAGGAATATTTTTAATTCATCTTTTATTAAAATTTGCCATTCATACAGAATTGTGTATGAAATTATATGTGTGCAGCTTGGCGAATGTTCACAAGGTGAGTATCTCCATCCATGCTGCTTCCTGTGGCTGTAATTCATTTATTCTCATTACTGTGTTGTTTTAATTGTACACACTATCATTTATTTATCTATTCCAGTGTAGACGAATATTTGAGTTCTTGCCAGGTTTTGGCTGCTCTGAATATTTCAGTTGATGTGTTTTGGTGAACATGTGTGTGTATTCTTTTGGGTATGTACCTAGGAGTAGAATTGCTGAATCTTAGTATATGAATACATTCAGCTTGAACTAATACCGTCAAAGAGTTTTCCCAAGTGAAAATTTCCAAAATTTATCCTCACACTTGCAGTGTGTGTGAATTCCAGTTGTTGTGTATCCTAACACACACTTGACTTTGTCCGTCTTTTCATTTTAGCCAGTCCGTCGAATGGTGTTCTGGTGTGGTTTTAATTTTCATTTCCCTGATGAGCTTGAGGAAATTTTCACAAATTTATTTGGCCATTTGGATTTTACCTTTGGTGAAATGCCTATTTAAGCCGTTTACTCATTTTTCTAGCAGGTTGACTACCTATTTCTTACAGGTTTTTAGTGTTCTTTATATATTCTGGATTCAAGCTCTCTGATGAATATACATATTGTCTATAATTTTTTATACTCTGTCACATACCTTTTTTAATTGTATCTTTGATTAACAGAAGTCCCTAATTTTAATGTATTCCAATTTATCCATTTTGTGTGTGCCTGTGGGTAATGCATTCTCCATCCTGTTAAGGAAGTCACTGGCTACTCCAAGTCATGCCCATATTCTTCTATATTTTTCTACAAATATTTTTGTACAGGTATCTTTTAAAAAACAAGCACCTAAGTAATTCTGATGCAGACTGTCCACAAATCACTTTCTGTGAAACTCTGATTTTCTGCTCTACATAGCACACATCCTTTAAGAGCTGTGTGCCTTGCCCTCTCCCCAAGCCAGAGTCACCATCTTGGACTTCCTTCTTCAAGGTTGGCTCACCTCATGGGCTCTCATCACCCTTAAGCCATTGTCTCTTCTCATGCGGTCTTACAAAGCAAAGGGACACACACCCAAAGTTTGCCAGGGTCAGGTGTGAGTGACCTGACTCTGTGGGGACCCTGGCAGCCAGCGAACCAACGCCCTGCAAAGGGGCAGCAACCACTCAGCCCCAGCTGACTATTGCCACATGAGAACAAGGGCCTCAGGCTACAGATCTTCCAGTTTTCAAAGCAAAGCCAAGCATTTGGGTTATGTAAAATATCCTGATTTCTAAATGATGTCAAGCAATTCAAACTTTAAAAATTCACTGTGTGGGCAAAAAAAAAAAAAAAAAAAAAGAAAGGAGAAAAAAAGATGTTTGTGGGTTTGCTATGGCCTGAAAGGCCTCTTGGTCTACGTCTCCAGACTTTGTCCTAGAGTAGGGAAGCAGGCTGCTACTCCAAGTGTGAGCCTGAGACCAGCAGAAGCATCACCTGGGAGCGTATTAGAAATGCAGAACCTCAGGGGCTGGCCCCGTGGCCGAGTGGTTAAGTTTGCGCACTCCGCTGCAGGGCGGCCAAGTGTTTCGTTGGTTTGAATCCTGGGCGTGGACATGGCACTGCTCATCAAACCACACTGAGGCAGCATCCCACATGCCACAACTAGAAGGACCCACAACAAAGAATATACAACTATGTACCAGGGGGCTTTGGGGAGAAAAAGGAAAAAAAAAATAAAACAAAATAAAATCTTTCCCCGGGTGACTCATACACATATTAACATTTGAGAAGCACCAATCCAGATGTGTGGTTCTCAGAACTAGCTCAAATTAGAATCACTTGGGGAACTTAAAAAAAATACCTATGGCTGGGGTGCACCACCAGCCACACAAATCAGCACTGCTGGAGATGAGGTCTAGCCACTGGCATTTTTACAAAGCATGCTGGGTGATTCAAATAGGCAGCCAGGGTTGAGAAGCACTGACTTAGATCAATCCCTCCTTTATGAGTGGGAAAAGTGAAATCTCAAAGAACGGACAGACGAAATGTCTTGCCCAAGGCCACTCAACAAACGTAAGGGAGAGTCTGACTTATGCTCAATTTCCCATCTCATGATTCCCAAGCCAGTCCCTTTTGGCTACAGTTACTTTATGTTCCTGGAGGCAGAACTACAAAGTGATCTTGCCCAATGATAGCTCATTCCCTCCAGCTTTCCAGCTAAGCTGTTTAGCTTTCAGCACTGACCCCTGACAAGATTTACTGGATGAAGAGCTGTGAGCTAATGGGCCCCTTTTCTGCCTATTCAAGCCCAAATCCATTTCATTCTCTCTGTACATCGCCCAAAAAAGTGCTAAATGCTCCTGCTGTGAAGCACTGGAAGCTCTTCCCCTTGGGTCTCAAAATCTGGCTGCACAGGCACAGAGGGAGGCTCCTGGGAGCAACAGGGGGATTTGAGTTCAGCACTAATCAGCAGCGACTGGACGGAGGGTCATTGCTCTGTGCCTTATCACCCTCAGGCTGCACCAACAGAAGCACAGGTCCAGAAGGCAAACCTGGTAGGCCTGGTTGACTTTGGCTCATCACCATTTTACAATTGAAGAAACTGGGAGGATTAAATGGGTGACTCACAAATAGTAGTTGAGCCCTGATTCCTAACCCTTGTTTCCGGGACCAGGTAATGCTTATAATATTCTGACGCCATGGTATAGTCCTTCAGCAGTTTCATGCAAAAGAACAGAGTAACTAAAAGTAATGTGTTCAGGAGTTGAGTTCTCTTGGTATATTTTGGGGATATCATGAAGGAGGCCCACACTCTACAGCAATACTTGTGAAATTCCCTCCTATTTTTTTTATATCTTCTGCTTCATGCTTTATAGCTACCTTCTCTTATGTTTTCAACTCTCTGCTGTCAAAATAGCCTTCTCCCTAACCCCAGCCTGTGCCATCATCTTCTTTCTTTTCCTTTTCACTCCAATTCTACAGCTGCAGAGACAGAAACATTTTGGAGAGCTGGGGAGGAGAAAAGTTCCATATAGGACTCTATTTAGTGGCACACAGAATGACAGTCTGGGGACAATCATACATGTCAGGGCCATGACAACCAAGCCCCTGTCAGCTCCCTAATGACGCCACTCTCCCTTGCTCTGCTCCAGCACTTCCATTATCCACCCATTGATCTTATAGTCGGAGCTATAATGACCTGGCAGGCTCAACACATACCGAGCACCTTCAGTGTCCTAGGTCGTGGGACTCAGTCTGACCTGTGGGTGGGAATCTGTTTTTTTTTAATAAAACGGGGAAACTCAGGCTTCTGTGGGATTGAGATAGCACGCATGGCAGTTCTTTGGTAAGAGTTGAGTACTGAATAATTATAACGTAATGATGATAGTTAGAATTCCTGCCTGCCACCAGCCCTGGAGAAAAATTGTCACTTGACAAAAACTTGAAGTCCTTGCTTGTAACTTGTTTGCCCTCTTACAAAGGGTCTTTCACTTGATCTCTTCCAGGTAAAGAAACTCCTCCGAAGGATCCAACCTCATCGACTGAGTTTATATCCTCATCTGAAGAAAAGGAAAAATGTTTCCTGCTACAGAACATGACTCCAGGTATCCAGACCCCCAAGACAAACCCTATTTAAAAAAATATACTTTTCACGTACAATATTGCAGTAACCTCCTCATCTCCCCCATCTGCGGGCTGTCTCCTCCTTTTCCTTCTTGGCACCACCACCAAATGCATCTTTGTAGGTATGACCTTGACTATGACACTCACTTGCTCACAAATCTTGTGATGCTCTCCATTGCCTATAAGATTAAGTTAAACCTTCTCAGGCTCACATTCAAAGCTTTTCACAAGCTGGCACATAGTAGGAGCTTTGTACATATTTGCTGTATCAAAGAAAGTATATCATTGATTAGATTTTAAGATGCTGGAAGGCAAGGTTTTTTTTGAATAATTATATTCTACGTAGTACCTAACAGAATTATTTGTACACAGTTGGCGCTCAGAAAATATTTGGTAAATAAACACACGAATAGTTGAATAAATATGTAGAAGTCATGTCTGTGTTCTATATGGTACCTAACACAGTACCTTATACATAGTAGGTTCTCAATAAGTATTTGTTAAATAAATGAATAAGTGAACGAAGAGTTAAATATGTGGGGTGAGATTGGGCAGAAGGGCATCTGTATGAATCTTTCGGAAGAAGAAAAAGATTTTGAAATTAATGTGAAAAAAATCTTATTTTCAATACACATCTCTCACAAGGTTCCCCTTAAGAGGTCTCAGTGCAGCTGGCAAAGACAGAGTTGTCATCAGAGAGAGCTACAGCCGGGCTGAACCTTGTACCAGAAACTCCAGGGATAACCCTGTAGAAGATTCAGTGTCTGTTGTACACTAACAGAGACCATTTTTGAGGGCAAAGCGTGTGCCAAGCTCATGCTGAATGACCCCCGCATATTCTTCTCATCCTCATGTGCTCACCTCTAGCACGTAGCACAAAAGTCCCCATTTTGAAGGTGGCAGACAGAGGCTAAGAGAGGGAGGTGGCTTCCCCACTGCCACACAGTTAATATGTGATGAGAAAGGGACTCAATCCCTGGCCCTCGTTTGTAACTTTGATGTTCCATTGCCGTCCAAAAATATACATCTCTCTGGCATGCACAAGATAGATTTGTGGAAAAATTTACATTATGAATGTTTTAAAGAACATAAATCACAGAAATAGATGTTGCATAGATGTCATCCTAGATGCTTTCTTTTCCCAATTTCAAATTCTGTCAAACTTCTTGGTTGACAATGAGGAAAACCTTGTCCTTTGTTTCTCGCTTCTGTGTCAATCTGCTTATCTGTCTGTCAGCTCGGGCTCTCCCTGCACAAAGCTGACTCACCATCTGTCGTTTCACGGACACAGTGGAGTCAGCATTTGCCTTATCAACGCATGCAGGCCGATGAACAGAGGTACCTGCAGGTGAAACTTAACCGACTGAGGCTGAACTTGTTCATCTTTCAGCATCTTCAACCATGATGCTGCTTCCAGGAAGGTCACGGAGTGAGAAGGGGAGACTCAGCTCCAGCTGCCAACCTCTCCTTTCTGTGGAAGAGTCACAGACGGAATCAATCAGATATATTATCATGCTTAAACGACCCGTTTTCAGAAGGAGTAAAAACCTGATAAAATGATAAAATACACTTCACACTAAAACTAGAGGGAACTTGAAGTTTATTCCCTGTCTGGTGCGGCTGGTGATGTGGGTGGCACTGTAGGATTCCACAGTGGGCCCAGAGGCCTGCTCTGAGTATCAGCTCTTAATGGCTGAGATCTCAAAGGCAGCTTACTTACTTAAAGCCTGGTATTTTGAGGTACATGTCCAAGGATTCACGTGGGTGGCAAAGAGGACCACACGGAAGGGGCTGGCATTCATCAGGGGCTATTCCGAGAGAGATTCTAGAGGGGAGTTTGGATCAGGCTTTGGAAGGACAGGCTTGATGAAAAGGAATCACAGAATCAGTTCGAGTCAGTGTTCGTTACAGGCGCGACAAGATGAAGGCAGCCTGAGCAGTAATCGCTGGAGGACTGGGCTGAGGGTGGGGGGTTTTTGAGGGGCAACTGCTAATGCTTAATGTGTTTATTGAACAATTAGTATGCACCAGGCACTGAATCTGAGCTTTATATGCATAAGCTCATTTAGTAAGCCTCTTAAAACTCCTGTGGGATAGGTACTGTAAAAGCCATTTTGCTAATGAGAAAAGTCAAGTGTAGAGAGGTAATTAACCATTCAGGGTGGTGCAGTTAAGCAAGGGCACAGCCAAGTCTTGAGCCTGGGGCTGCGTGACTCCTCCTCCCCGGGTTTCACCTCCTCCTAGAGATCAGGGTGCAGCGAGGCTACAGTCGTAGGGCTGGACCTGGACTGCTGAAGACGGAGGGCTTGGATGACATTAGAACACAGGCCAGGGAGAAATCGAGTGGAACAAACCTCCACCCGAAGTTCACACCAATGTCAGGTCAGTTGGGCATGTCTTATTGGAGCTGGTCTGCAGCCATAGCATTTTCAAGACTTTTAGGTTAAAGACAGGCCTTTTAAAGGTAGGAGTCCAGGGCTGCCTTGTGGACCCAGGTCAGCATGACAGGGGCTGTCTCTAACATGTTCAGGAATTTGCAAAGGCCCTGGCAAGTCAGGGATAGAAGAGAGACCTTGGTGATTATCCAGCCTGATGCCTTCTCGGTTCACTCTGTTTGATAATTATTAACGGGGTTGCTATTTATTGTCTAAGGAAGACACACGGCAAAGTGCAATTGTATGATGAGCCTCCTCAGGGTGGCCTTTCCCGACAGCACTCTCTGAAGGCACGCCCCACCCTCCAAGTGCTCCACCAACCTGTCTCTCTACTCTGTTACATTTTCTTTATGGCACTTTTCTCCATCTGGAATTACTGTGTTCATAGAACTGAGTACTTGCCAAGAGTACAAGTTCCATGAGAACACGGACCACGTCTACTTTGTTTCCTGCTGTTTCTCAGCACCTAAAATATCTTCTGCTCACAGTATTGGTCGAATGAATATGTATTTTGAAGAAATTAAAGATGGACATTACATTAACCAATTCCCCTAACATTAATAAATGTATTATCAGAAAGAAACAGGTTAGAGAAAATGTACTTGTGTCTGTATAATGCATAAAGTATGTAGTATCTATTAAATATAAATTCGACGTATAAATACTTTCCCATAAATATGTATAAATTAGTATTTGTTCTGAACTTTCACAATCATCCACAGGAGGAAATATGTGTCCTAGCTGGTTCTGTGTCAACACCATTACTTCTGTGCCAGGCAGCGCAGGGATAAAGCCTGTACAAAGCAGGAATAACCAATCCGAGCGCAGCAACTCCTGGGATTCCGCAACATTCCAGGCTTCAGCATGTTTTTTTTTTCAGGCGGTCGGGGGGAGAGTTAAAGGAAAGTTCTTCGAGAATCGTTAGGATCACCTGCAATCTCTAACTACTAAGGACACCAATTTAGGGTTTGGGTGTGGGAAACACTGGGGCTTATCTAATTCTTCCCTTTTATTTCATTTCTAGCCTGATCTTTCTCTGTTCTCTTTAAGACCTGACGCTCTCCTTCAGTGTGAAGAGCCGCTCCAAGAGGTGTGTGAACGGCCCCTTGCAGGAAGCAGCCAGGAGGCGCCTCTGGGCGCTGGAGAATGAGGACCAGGAGGTGCGTGCACTGTTTAAGGTGAGCTTGGGCGGAGCGGAGCAAACTGAGCCTGCCTTGTGTCCGTCCGCTCCAGGTTCCTCAGCACCTAGGACAGCGCCGAGAACAAAGTAGGCCCTCAAGAAACATACGACTGACTGACTGAAAGAAAATGTACACATTCTTTGCTCAAGAAGAATGGGCAGGAACTTAGAATGGGGCAACCCCTGGATTTGCAAAGTCAGAGAAGTCTTTGTTTCAAATCTGCCACTATTAGTTGTATGACCTTCCACGTTGCTTGACCTCTGTAGAATGGGAATCATTACAACATCCAAATCACTAAGTATACTTTTTTTTAAGGTGGCAAATTTGACTTTTATTGTGATAAAATATAAATAACATAAAATTTTCAATTTTAACCATTTTTAAACATACAATTCAGTGACATTAAGTGCATTCACATTGTTGTGTGACCATCACCACTATCCGTTCCAGAATTTTTTCATCACCCCAAACTGAAACTCTGGACCCACGAAACAATAACTCCCCTCCATCCCCTTCCCTCAGCTGCTGGTAACCACTAAGTATCCTTTTTTTTAAGTACCAAAATTACCAATCAAAAGTTAATAACTGTGAATAATAGAATGACAGGAGGAAAAGACAATAAAGTAAATAAACCAGTTCCTCATCTTTCATAGTGAGTAGATAATATCTTCCATTGTTGAACCAAGGAAGAGTACGATCTAATTATTTACAGTTTAGGAGGTGCTACTAGGAGAACTAAGTCAGAAATGGTTAAAAGTTGTTGCAACTAGTGGTGGGGGAAGGAGAATATTGCTTTACCTAAGAAACTAATATGTTCTGGTTATTTTTACAACCTCTGCGTTAATCTGATAGAAATTAAAAAGAGACATTTGCTCTATAAGTCTGTCTTGTAACAAAAAGGATAGCATCTGGTTTGTTGGGAGGCGTAAATGAGACGGTCTGTGTAGGGAGCTTGGCATTGTGTTTGGGTGGTGCTATGTACTCCAGACATAGTAGATGAAGAGTGTTTTTGTTTTTTAATCTCTGGAATTCAGGAACTTGGAGGCACTAGCTGCTAATTGGCACCATAGACTTTCTGTTAATTTGAGTCACTTTTGTCACGGGTAAGAGCTGGGTTTGGTTGAGCAAGCTGACCTGCTGGGCTGAGGCTTGTGGGCCAAAGCTGAGGCCTGGAGGCAGCTGGATCTGAGATCCAGTCAGGGAGCCACAGCACACTCACCTTATCCTGTCTGTGCCCTGGCCTCCATGACTATAAAACGGGGATAAGGCCATTTTCTATTAAATCGGAGATGCCATTTGATTATAAAATGCACCAACATTTTATGTGCCTCTAAGAAAGAAAATAAATGATGCCAATCAAATATGTGCCATGCTTCCTTATCTTTTATTTCAGAAATGGTCAAATGTGGTAAAAGAGCATCTTAGAATGGATTAAGTACTGTAATTGTACTCTCTTTATAGGGTTACTGCGAGAGTTAAATGAGGCTCATAAAGCTCTTGGTGAAGTGCCTGGCAATTAGTAAATTCCCTGTAAATCCATTTTTACCTAGACCCCCTTCTCGGATCTGGGGCCTCCTGGCTCCTGCTGTGGCAGATGGCCAGCATTCTGACTTTGCTGACCTAGAGCTCTTCCTCTGGATCCATCTATTCTCCTCTTCTCCCTGCAAGGTTCCCTCAGGACAGGGTTCCAGGGGTTGATCTTTGATGGCAAGACCTGGCCTGTGGGGAGAGAGACTTTCTGATCATCCCTTGTTATAGTCCACTCTAGAAGCTTGGAGAAGCAACAGAGAAAGATTTTAGGGGAAAACCAGGTCTGGGCAGTGATTCAGGCCTGTTTTTTCAGGTATTAAAAAAGAGGTGGGGGGGGGGCGCTTGCTGGCCACCTAGTGCTCTGCTTGTGAGTGTGTAGGCTGGCGTAGCCTTCCTAGAAGGCAGTTTGACTCCCGCATTTTAGGATTGAAAATGTGCCTATCCTTGCATTCCCAATTACACTTCTTAGAATTACTTGTGTCAAAACAATCAAGGATGCGTACAAAGATTTAGGTATCGGATGCTTATCACAATACTGTTTAGGATGTTAAAAAAATTAAAACAACTCAAATGTCTAACCATAAGGAAACGTTAAGAATTAACTATGTTAATGCAACAATGGCACATGTAACCATTAAAAATAATGTAGATTATTTAACGGCAAAGGAGATGATTCACAAAATACTTCTTAGTGACAAAAGATTACAAAACAATTTATGGAATGTGATTCTATTTATATAAAAATAGCTACATAGAAATTCACGTCTAGGAAAAAAATTCAGTTAATACACGAAAGTGTTAACAATGATGATCTCTAGGAGGAGGGATGGTGGGTAATATTTTTTGTGTGTGCTTTGCTTTTTTTTCTGTTTTCCAGTTTTATAAAAATAATTATTAGTCATAAATTCACAATCAAATTTGCTTCCAAGGTGCCTTCCATGATTTATCCTCCACTCTCCCCCATACGCTTTTCTTTTACATAAAAGGAAGATTTTGCTACACACAGTTCCAAACTCTGCTTTCTTTTTGTTGTTGCGGTTGTTCCATTTTCAGTGTATATTTGGAAGCTATATCAATGCACGAAGAGCTTTGTCATTCTTTTTCGTGGCTGCATAATATCATAATATTCCATTGTATAGATGGACCACAATTCATTTTAACAAGGCTCCTACTGATGAACATTTAGGTGGTTTCCTTTTTTTTTTTTGGTGATGTAACAATGAGTGCCAAACTTCTAGTTATAAGATAAGTTATAAGATAGATGAGATAAATAAATAAGATGTAATGTACGGCCTGGTGACTATAGTTAACAATACTGTGTTGCATATTTGAAAGTTGGTAAGAGAGTAGATCTTAGTTCTCATCACACAAAAAAAGTTTGTAATTATGTGAGGTGGTGGATGTTAACTAAGCTTAGTGTGGTGATCATTTCACAATATATCCATTTATCAAATCATTATATTGTACACTTAAAACAAATACAATGTTATATGTCAATTATACATCAATTAAAAAAGAAGTTCTTATGGAGCATTTTGCACATAGGTGAGCTTGTTAGCAGGACACCGCCAGCCCAGGCTGACTCATTGTCCTCTTTGCTCAGGACCTCTCAGCAAGGTTGGTGGGTATCCAGTCCCAGAGGGCCCAGTTCCTCATCACCTTCAAGACCATGGAGGAAATCTGGAAGTTCTCCACCTACCTGCACTTAGGTACGACGCGGAGCAGGCAGGTGCGGGAGCAGCTGCTGCACAGTTCAGCCAATGCGTAGACTTGACATTGAGGAATTGGTCTGGCTCTGACAATTAAAAGAGGTGGGGCCTTAACATGGATGGTTAAAATTTGAAATATCACAAACTGCCTGGGACGAAATCTAAAGCAAATATTAACTATGACTCTACAATGCCATGTGCAACACTTCTTTGTGTTCGGGGAGAGAACATTTATTAGATAATCAATCAAAACTGGCAAACAGTTATTGATCATCCACTAAATTCAAAGTACTGAGATAGATGTGAAGTTGATGCTTTGATAAAAAAAAAGGAAACTGTCTTGAGTCAGATCAAAGGAACTGCTCAAAACAGTAAAGTTACTTTACTTTATCCCATGTTTTGGGAAAAGAGTTGAAGAAAGAGATGGGGGAATTATCTGCTAAAGGGGCCTCAGGTTGCAGGGTTTTTGAGAAGGTAGAGGAAGATACTGGGGCGCAGCCAGCACCAGTGTGGTGGGAAATGGTTCGCCTGCTCTCTCCCTGGAGAATAACTCACGGTGGGGAAATTACAGTTGCAAAGCAAAACCAAGCAAAGCAAGAGGAGGCGACTTGAATCGACGCATGTTTTACATCTCCCAGAAAATGCGGGGCACCATGCAGACTTGCACAGCAAGTGACTTTGTGTGAGGGTGGTGGGTCAAGATGGCTCTTGGCTAGAAGGTGTAACTTCTCTTCTAGTAGTCTTGGTGATTTTCTGCTCTCCACACCACGCATCTCCATCAGAGATCCTTCCTCACTATTTAAAGTGGGCCCTGTGGACCAGCAGCATCAGCATCATGTGAGGCTTGCTAGGAAAGTGGAATCCCAGGCCCCACCCAGACTGGTGAGCCAGGATGTGTATTTTAATAAGGTCCCCACGTGATCTGTGTGCACATTAAAGTGTGAGAAGCATAATTATGGAAGACACGCAAGGCCTAACAGAACAAGGGAGAGTCAGACTGGAAAGAGGGGTTTTTGCATCTTATGAAGGAGAGGAAGTCTCAAAAGAAGAAAAATTTTAATAAGAATAATTCACATTTATAGGCATGTTTAAAATACTATACATAACTATTAGACTTTTATAATTTGCATAGTTTTTGGTCTGGTTTTAACAAGGGAGAGCTTACTGGGCGTGGGTGAGGCCGAGGGTCAGAGTGGGGATTTTGAGTAAATTGTGACTCCTTTGGGGGTCTTGGAGAACCCCCAGCCACTGCATCACCAGGGGTCCAGGAAATTGAACCTGCAGTCAGGAGAATTTTAAAGGGGGACCAGGAACCCCCAGAGTCAACGTTGTAATCTTGGAGATTCCTCCATGGACATATTAGAAAAAGGTTATTTGGTTTGGTCATGTCATTATGCATTTACGGAGACTCATACCGTGCTGATATGGTAAATATCATTTAAAAATGACTTGTATTTCTCAACAGATGCTGAGAAGAATCGTTCATTCTAGAAATTTTCCAGTTATCCTTCTTATGCTCTTCTAATTCCAGTTCACTCGGGTCAGGTTGGGAATTGAGGTCTGGGAGGGAGCTTGCTCACCCTCTTCTGTGCTCGGCTAATGGCAGAAATCATGTTGTTCAGGAATCTGGTTGGCTTGACTTCTTAGGCTATGTATCTGCATGTCTGGAGCATCTTCTCTTTGACCACAAGTACTGGCTCAACAGCAGATTGGTGGAGGATACAGAGATCCAAGTGTCAGTAGATGATAAACACCTGGAATCAATATACCTGGGACTCCTGATACAGGAAGGTGAGCATGGAGTAGAGGTGGGGATGCCGGTCTTATTATCAGACTCCCTGAAATAATTGGGATACAAAGGGAGGCAAAAACCATTCAAACATGAAAATATTCACGAATGAACTCACCTGTTATAAGATTACTGCAAACATCTCTCTTAGTTTAACATTGACGATGTGAAAAGCTATGTTGGTCAGGCTTCCTCATGATCTGATGTTAGAACCACTTGGAGAGTTTTAGTAAGATGCTCATGCTAGGGTTCCACTCAGGCCAATCAAATCTCCAGAGGTAGGGGCCAAGGTTTTGGTATTTTTTGAAAGTTGTCTGGATAATTCTAATGGGAATCCAAGATTGAGAATCACTTTTATAAACATATGATGTAATTAGATTGTACCATAAAATTGCAAACCTTGAAAAACCTGCAGGGTTTCGTGAGATCCAGGAAAGCGATGTTGGGGAACTGCTCGAAGCACCCATCAACCTGTTTACAAAGAAGGGTCTGATCAGGGCCACAGGCAACCAGTTAACGACTGATGACGTTGCAGACACTTTGAAAGAGCCAGATTTGCATAGAGTATTTTGTAAAATGATTTTCCTTATGATTGCATTGCACAAATCGCATTTGAAGGAAAGAATTTCATACGTGTTACTATAAAATTTAGTTGGGGAAATTATGTTCACCCAAATCAATGTAATTTATTCTTTTTTGGTCCTAAGATAAAGCATGAGGTTGCAATTATAATTGAAGTTCTCTTAAATGTATTTTCATAAGATTTTGTTTCATTTTTTTTCAAGGTGAAGTCTCATTTAAACCACATTTTCATGAATTACTCAGAAATTTTGGTGCTTATTTTAAGTGAATTCCCTATCGATGGCTTTTTTCTCCTGCTACCGGTTTTCCTGGGATCAGAAAGAGCCTCCCCATCAGCTGTGCGCTTTACTCCCGGGAAGGAAAGCGTTTGGGCTCTGGATAGAAATGTTATATTGGGTGATAATCGCTTTTTACTTCCTGCTACTCCTTGGAAGGGCTTTTCTCATTATCTACAGGCCACTTCTTCTGCAGAGCCATGTGCTCCGTGGCTCAGCCAGCTGAGAAGGAAGGGGAGTATTTGACACTTTACAAGAACGAGTTAATCTCAGTGAAGATAGCCGAAGGAGGATCCGAGTGGGAAGGCATGTCCTTGGCAACCGGTCAGCGGGGCCTGGTGCCCGTGTCAGCCCTGGAACCCCTGCCACTCCCTTTCCACCAGTGAGTAGCCACCCACCTCCTAGGAGAGGGTCCCAGAGCAGACTGAGGTCTGCACAGAACAGCGTAGGCACGCTTGCAGATTTGGGCATCTGTGGTGCCAGGGAGGAAATGAAATCTGGGTGGCTTTTATCTTTTTTTGTTTTTTCAACACTCAGGTTCTCACAATTTGATGAAATTGGAGACAACTCTAAATTTCAGATGGACATTGTTCCTAGGAGGAAATATACTGCCTGGTCTCCACTGCACTGTTACTCAATGTAGTGACTGGGGACCATTTGTATCAGGCTCTCCTGGGGATTTTATTGCAAGTTCAGACCCCCTGGTCCTCCTCCGACTCTCTTGGAGTTGGATCCAGGAATCTGCATTTTATTCATTTATTTATTCAAGCTCCCCTTAAACATAAGGGGATATTTTCCACACTAAAGTTTGAAAATCCTTTGCTGGAAGCTATTGTAAACTCAAACATACAAAGCAACCGTAACATTATCCCAGGCCGTGGACCCTGGGTGTGGTTCTGGCACAGAGTCTCACAGTGAGAATGGAAAGGGATCCTTTGCTAGTTATTTAACTGACAAACTAATCGCAGAGCCAGAAAACAGTCCGGGCCTGCTGACCTTGTCTCCTTTTCACAGTGCCCATTACAAAGTAAATTCTCAAGAAATGTCTGCCATCATTATAATAAGAGTGATATCAAGAATACTTATCATTATCACCATCATTGTTATTTTAATGGACTATTCGGCTCATCCTTCTAATCTTTTGAAATCAATTTTTGCAAATCCCTTGTTTCCATTGGCAGATGGTTCCTAAAGAATTATCCAGGAAGCTGCGGCCTTTCCAGGAAGAGGGATTGGACAGGCTCCTACCAGATCGGTATGGTTGAGTTGAAGACAGTATTGTTAGGGCGATAATATCGCCCTGCCTCCTAATTTTATCTTCAGGTTTGGAGTCAGTTGATGTGAATTCCCGTCTCTGCTCTGCTACTGACTGGATCTGGGGAAGCCAGTTACTATCTATCCTCGTGGGCTTCCTTGCCTGTGAAATGAGAGGTTTCAGTTGGGGGCTGTAGATATGAGTGCTGTAGGCAGAAGGCACGGTGCATGAAGGCCTGGATGGAAGATGTTAGGGAATGGTGGAAACCATGGGGATTTAAAGATATGTGGGTGAAAAAAAAGCCAGATGTGGGCCAGATGTGGCCTGCAGGCTGCATGTTTTCAATCTCTACTCAAAACACTTTCTAATTTCCCTTAGAGTTTTGTGAAATTAATTTCAGATTTAAGAAGAGCAAGAATACCTGGCACATAGTGGGTACTCAGTAAATATTTGGTGAATAAATGAAAGAAATAAGTATATGCGTAAATACAAGCATACATTTTAGGTAATCTCTATTTGTGTATGTAGGTATGTGTATACACACATATATGTAAGTATATAAGTATCTATTAGATAATGAACTTTAATGTTCTATATGTATCTAGAATATACATTCCTTTCACCTTCATCCTTAGAGGCCCCCTACACCTAGCACAAAATGCAATTTTGTAAGTTCTCAGCCCAAATAACAGTTCGGAAAAAGGAAATAGAGGGAATTACGGAACCCAGACATCAGATCTAATCGATAATCGTAAACAAGATTTTTAGCTATCTGAGGAAGGAAGGCCTTGTAGTTAGGAACACAGGGCTGTAAAGTCCGTTCTGGGTTTAAATTCTGGCTCCACAACTTAAAATCAGTGTGACCTTGGCCAATTCACGTGCCCTCACTATGCTACAACTCCCTCACTGGTAAAATGACACCATGAGACCAACTTCGTATTGTCATGAGGACTAAACTAAACGATGCCTGTAATTCACTTAGTGTAGTTTTCTCACACTGAAGTTATTAGCCCAGAGAGCAGTGGGAATTGCTGATCTTGAAGATATAATCAATAGAAACGTGACCAAAAATGTCAGAAAAAAAAAATCCAGTAGCTTTAGTAGAGGAGCTAATGCAAATATGGAAACTGAGGCATATAAAAGTCGTTATCTCAACCAGAGCAGGATTCATGAAAAAGAAGCGTCAACCAGGAGTGGAGAGGCTTCACTTCTAGGCCAAGCTTTGTCACACATAAGCTCCTTGGACAAATCCTGTATCTCTCCGTGCCTCCACCTTCTAATCTATGAAAAGGGGATTCTGATAGTTACCTTCTCTACCCTTTGGGGCTCCCAGGAAGACCTGAGGAAATGGATGTGAGTGTACTTTGTAAAGTGGATAGCACAACGCTCATAAACACGTCATGACTAGATCCTACCTAGGCAACTTATCAAGCTGGGCAGTGACCATGGTCAGAAGGGGAGTCTTCCAGATCCCTCTGGGTCATCAGCAGTTTTCTGTTCCCCCGTGGTGTGAGGCTAACATTTATTGAGGGTTGACTGGTGCCAGGCATTGTGCACTTTCTCTCTTCCTGATATTCATAAGAGAAAGGTATTCTCATTATTCCCATTTTACAGCTGAGGAGACTGAGGGTCACAGTGGCAACAGGAGCTGGAAGGAAATGGAGAGACCCTCTGGTACAATGCTTCTCCCCTGGCCTGGGGATTTGTGCCAAGCACAGCAAAGTGCTTACTGAATGTCCTACTTTAGCAAAATGAAAAACCAATTCCCCTGTGTCAATCTTGCCAATTTGTTCTTTGAGGAGTCGGGTTGGGGAAATTTACTGGTCTTTGAAATTCCGAAGTCTGGGAACCCGTCATTTCATATTATGTTGGAAGCTCGTGGAAGGCTCAGCTGTTTCTGCCTTATTTAGTTGACCTCTGTGCTATTTCCCCACAGGCAGAGGGAAGTGTAAGGCCTGGAAGGAATATGAGAGGGAAGAAAACGATGAGCTGGATCTCCGCCAGGGAGAGAACATCGAGATCATCGGCTTTGTCATCCCCGGGCTCCAGTGGTTCATTGGGAAGTCAACACGCTCAGGAGAAGTGGGCTTTGTCCCCACCGGGAACATAGATCCTGATTCTTTTTCCCCAGTGTGAGTATGACAGAGAGGTCCTCCTGGATGTCCTGGAGCGGGACCACCTCCCCAGTGGTCCTGCCCCGTTCTGAGCAGGTTTGCCGATGAGCTTCAGGGTTCCCTGGTGACACGGAGCCAGAGGAGCACATTCTGACAGCCGAGGAGGACAAAAGAGTGAGAGGGAGGAGAGGAGTGGTCAGTTTGGTTCATTTCAACAGATGGTCATTGAGGCCTCTCTCTGTGCCAGGACAGAAGCACAACCCAAGACAAAGGGCCTGCTGTCAGCATCCAGAGTGCGTTTTGGTCCTTGAGTTTGCCATTCACCCCATTAAACGGAGGGGCCCATCAGGGAGGGGCACACACAGAGCGCAGAGATCGCAGCTGAGTGGGTGGAACATCCCTCCCACATAGGTCTGTCTGCTGAAAGCTTACTGTGTGGAGCCAGTGTTGGCCAGGAGGGTAGCGTGCGTCTTTTCCTCTCTTCTGCCTTGAGTCAGAAGAGCTGGTTCTGAGGAGCAGAGCCACCCACATGGCCAGTCAGCAGTGGTCTCCTCCGCAGGCCCTGTCATGGAGGGGTGGGGCTCCGGAGTACCAACCAGTCTCTGTGGGTGGGCTTCCTGCACCAGCTCAGGAACAAAGGCAGCCTGGGCCCAGGAAGCGTGAGAGGGAACGTAGAGGTGGCTGCTAATACCGAGACACTGTGGCCCTCCACATCAGGAAAGTGCGGCCCCAGGGATGGCTAAGGGTTGAATGCTCAGACTGGAATCCCTTCTCCTGTGAAAGAGGCCCTGAGATGAGTGGGCCACGGGCAGAACTCCCTCTAAAATCCCGCCCCCTTTATGGGAGAGGAGACGGAAGATCATATTCCCCACACAGAAAAGTGAGAACCCAAGTAACTCTACACAAGGAAGGTTGCTCACTGAGCCCCTGGAGGGGCATGGAGTGCTATGGGAGTTTATAAGGAGGAAAAGGGTATCGAGAACTTTCACGAAAAAGGCAACATTTGAGTTCAGCTTTGCACAATGTGAGATATTTCAACAAATGTAAAAGGGGAAAGGAGGTCACAGGGAGGAAAGTGAGGGGATGTTGAGGAAGGACTCATGTCGGTCAGGAGGCAGGTTACCAGGAGGGCACTGGTGTGGCCACGCCTCAGTGGGGTCATGATGTGGAAGATGGCAATGCCGGTGCCAGGGGCCTGACCTCCACTGGCAGAGAATGGGGAACCACTGGGTGTCTCTGAGCAAGGGAGAGAAATGATGTGACTGGAACCTCCCTCTGGGAAGCTAAGCCTGGCTGTGGGTGAGGCGCCCATGGGCAGGGGAGAGCCTGGAGGCAGGAGACCAGTGAGAAGCCGAGCCTGGCACGGAGGAAGGGGTGGGGGAATGGAGAGGAGAGGGCACTGCTGAGGAGCCAGCGACAGGAATTTAAAGACTCCCAGAGCTTTCCAAATACGGATACCTGTGTTCTGCCCCCAGAGGGTCTATCTCGTGTCGTGGGGCCTGGGCAGGGATGGCTATGGAAGCTCCCAGGTGGGGCCAGTGTGCAGCCAAGGCGAGGACCACTGCTCTGAACAGCCCCTCGTTTTACTGCCGGGGGAAGTGAGGACCCAGGAGGGAAGGGGCTGGGCTCAGGGCCTTGGGTCTGGAACCCCAGAATCCTGACGGTAAATCCAATGAGTGCTGTAACCGAGGTGCTGGAGAAAGGGGGAGAGAATAAGAGAACAGAATCCAGGGCTGGTAGGGCAGACCCTTGGAGGGTGCCTCCATCTACAGAGTGGAGGAAGGAGGAAGGTAGCAGAGGAGACAGAGGAGCTGGCTGAGAGGAAGGAACCAGCCACGGGGGAGGTGGAGGGATGCTAACACTGTTGCAGGCCTGGGAGATCAAAGCAGAGCTGACTGGGGAAAGGTCTTTGGGAGTGGCTGTTGGGAGGTCACTGGGGGGGCAGCATAGCTTAATGGTTTACAGAGTTCCAGAGCCAGACTGCCCGAAAGGCATTTGGGGGCCACATGAGAACATCATGTGTCTCCATTAGCTCACCAGCTGTGTGACTTTGGACATGTTAATTTGTCTCTCTATGCCTCAGTTTTCTCATCTGTCAAATGCGTATAATATTAGTACCTGGCTAGTAGGATGGTCATGAGTTTAAATGAGCTAATACATGTTAAGCACTTAGGACGGTGCCTGGCACAGTGTGTGTGTGCGATCAATATGCATTAACTCTTACAATTGCTGTCATTGTTGTGGGTGGTAATCTTTGAGAGGCAGTTTTAATAGGATATGGGGGCCAGGTGTCTGATTTCATAAATTATGTTTGGTCTTCTGCACCTCAGACTTTGCCCCAAATGACAATAACTCAGTACCACTACGTCAATTTGATCAGCACGTTTTAACTGGCTCAGCTGCAGGGGAGACACTCTTACCCTTAAGAACATCATCTCCTGTATTGCAGTGGCAGCATGAGACCTTCTCCTTATTTCCACAGGGTCCTCTGTTGGCCCACCCCTGGTTGCCTGTGGGACCCATGCACCAGAGATTGCACATTCATTAGGGAAGGAAAAAGTGAGCCAGGAGACTAGGCATGGTAGAAGAAGGAGAGGACAGGAGAATTGGCTCATTGAACAGCCCCCAAAGCACTCTCTATTTACAGACATCCCCGAAACACAGCAATCAGAGGAGAACGCCACGAGCAGTAGCCAGGTGCGGAGTCCTGGGAATCATCCCTGTGTGCTATGTGGGAGTTGACCACTAGGTGTCACTCTTAGACCATGTTGATTTGGTATCAGGTTCCTGAAAAAGGTTGAGCCTTTGCTGGTCTCCAACCTCTTCTCACAGGGTCCCTCTCTGTGCTGGTATATTACTCCCAAAGTGTATTCATTCATTCATTCATTCATTCATTCATTCATTCATCCATCCATCCATCCATTCATGCATCCATCATCTATCCATCCGTCTATTCATCCGCCTATTTAATCAAATCAGCTGTATATTGAGAGTGAAATTTCTCAGAAGCCGGTTTCTGAGTCAGATTTAGTCTGTGCCTGACACAGGGGAAAGAGATCCTGCTTTTCAACAGGAGCAGATTTGCGAGTTTCCTTTTTTCAGCAGATTTCAATGCCAGCTACCTAGTTTCATAGTAACAGCAGCTGGAAAACCAGTTCTTAAAACTTGGGGCAGGGAATCTGTCTGAATAGACATAGTATTTGCATTTGGCCAGAGTGACTCTGGGGATTTCAGAGCTTTTGAGGGTGACAGAACACCACACCCTTCCTTTTTTTAAATGTTTTGTGTTTTTTAAAAAAATATTTGATGTGTGTGTGTTTGTGTATGTGTGTGTGTTTTATGGGAAAAAAGTCTTTAGATATAACTGAAGGTGCCTTTTACTCTTTCCTACTTTCACCCTCTGATCCTGATTCCCACCGGGTAGGCAAACTCTACTTGAAGTTGACGTGTTTCTTTCCAGTCCTCTTTCTGATACATTTTAAAAACAGATACTGGTTCAGAAACAAAAAATACTATGGTTTTGTGTATTTAAAAAAAATATAGATTTTTACTGCAACTGGCCTTTTTCTTCAGTTGACATAAATTTAGGATTTATTCACATTGTAATAGATACAGTTCATTTTAATAAAGTGTTACTTAAAGGAAATTTATATATTTAAGTGCCTAAATTAAAAAATAAGCAAGATTGAAAAATTAATGCACTCAAACAAGAAAAAAAGAACATAGGAAAAAAGTGCTAGTATTTTATAGTATTAAACATTTAAAAAATTTCTATGTTCCTCAGATCCCTTCTTTTCTTCTTCATATTGTTTATCTGTGTCTTCTTCGTAATTTCATTTCTTGTGGCATCTATTTCTGCTGATGAGAAGTTTGCTGTTAGTCTCATAGCTATTTCTGGGTAGGTAGGCAGCTTTGTCTGTTTAGGTTTTTGTTACTGATGTTTTACAACTGGACCACGATACATCTAGATGTGATATGTTCTATTACATGTTTATAGCAAGCTGTCCACCTCCTTCTCCATAATGTATATCTTTTAGTAGTTATTTCGGTGGAGATCTGTGAGTTGCACATACTCTTAGTCTTTGGTCCTCGTTTGTCTCAAATATACTTAAAATATACTCGTGAATGATGATTTAGCTAGGTGTAGAATAACATCTTCAAAGTGTGGAGGGAAAAATAACTATTAATATAAAATCTCAAATCCATTTTACCAGGGTTTTGTCCATTTTATTAGGCTTTTGAGAGAACCAATTTTTTTTTGTTGGCCATTTTATTCTTTGTTTTCTATTTCACTAATTTCATACTTACCTTTATTATTTTCTTCTACTTTCTTTGTTTTTATTTCATTAATTTACATTCTTTTCCTGTGTAATTCTTTCATCCTATAAGTTGAACAGTTAAGTGATAGATAATTGAACCCAGAAAGAAGGATTAGGAGAAATAGAAAACCTGAAAAGAACTATAACCTTAAAGAAATGGAAATCATGTTAAAAATGATCTTATTTTTATTTATTTTGCTCAGGACTTGGTGTACTTCTTCAGTTTGAAGACATGTTTTTCTTCAATTCTGGAAAATTCTCATTCTCCCTTTGAATATTGCCTTTCTGTCATTCTTTTTAATCTCTCTTCTGGAATTACTATTAGAGGTATGTTGGACTTTGTCATTCTATCCTCAATCTTGCTTAATCAGTTCTTTTCTATTTTTCATCTTTTTGTCACTCGAGGCTACATTCTGGGTGATTTCCTCAGAACGATCTTCAGTTTCACTAATTCTCTCCTCTGCAGTGACTAAATCTGCTGTTTAACTCACTCGTGTAGTCCTAAATGTCCATGCTTTTATTTTAATTTCTAGAATTTGTATTTTGCTATTTTTCACATATGCTTGTTTCTGCTCACAACGTTCCACATATTCATGCAGCTTCTATTCATTCTCTTTATTTCATCATTTTAAACATGCTTCTAATTAAATTAATCTTCAGATTATTGTTATTTCTGGCTTTTGTAGTGTTAATTTACCTATTTGTGCATCTGCTGGCTCTCTTTGTTTGTAGTTCATTTTCTTGTGTGGTTTGTATTTTTTGTTATGTGAACGAATTTTCAACATTTTAAAAGACAGTCTTTACCTGACTCTTAGACTGAGGGAATCATCCCAACAGAGCAGTTTTGGCATTTTCTTCCCCTGGAAACTTAGGAACTCAAGGGTCCAGGGCTGGTTTTGTAATGTTAAGTTCTCTGGTTGTGGTACCTGCACCATGCAGTGTAAATTCAGCTCCCACACCTTCTAATGGTGTAAGCCCAGGTGTTTGATTTTTTCCAGGGTCTCAGACAGATGGAAAGTGTTTTCTTGGCAGGCGAGTTTTCCAGTTCCCTCTTTGCGGAAGTTGCAGCCCTTCCAGACTTCAGGCTATAGGGAACTCAAAGCTTGTAGGGAGCTCTGTTCATCTCCCCTGCTTCACACAGGTCCAAAGTCACATTTCCTGTTCCTGGGTGGAATTACAAGGTGAGCCCCAGCTCTCGGGGCTAATCTCCCAGGTGAGAACCCCCAGGGTCTCTGGGCCATCTACCCTTGCTTACCAACTTGCCTTTGGTTTTTCCTCCTGTTTCTGGCTCCCAGGAATTTTCCTTTCTTTCTTTAAAGTTAAAGTAGGTATTACAATATTTATCTTTGTCACATTTTATCCATGAGTTGTATGTGTCTATTGGGAGAGTAGCCCTGTGTGGAGCGCTTCAGCCTGCCGTATTTCCAGAAGCCCTCCATACTCATTTAACCCCATTTCCATGCTAGGAAAGCCCTAATGTAATTTGTCAAACTTCTTGGACTCTCTCTAAACACCTGGGACTCAGGACGTTAGCAGATCAGCTGTGAGGTAACAGACAGTGGCAGAAGACCTCAGCTTTGGTCTCAGCTCCCCTACTTTCCAGCTGAGTCATTCTGAGCATGTCACTGAATCTTTCTGAGTCTTCATCTACAAATATGGATAAAAGTACTTACGTTGTAGGGTTGTTAGGAAGAGTAAATGAAATAGTAAGTTCAGAAATGCTTTGCCAAATTTAAGAGTTCTACAGAGATTTGGGATCATATAATTCTTTTTATCTCAAATGAGTTTCGTTGTAGATTTCAATTACATGGTCTTTTGAGGATGGGCACTCTCATGGTGCTGGGAAGAGTCTGGGGTTCAGGCCAGGGAGATGGGGGATGAGTAAGTCTTATGGAAAGAGCCCTGGGCCAGATATCAGGGCATAGCTTTAGCGGCAGATCTGCCACGAATTAGTGGTGTGACCTTGGGCAGTTCGTATTAACTGCTGGCTTTCTCATCACTGGATTTCAAACTGCATTATCTAAGGATGGGAACAAAGTGTACATGGCAGACTCTGGCACCCCCATTCCAGCTCCCCTCCCCCTCCAGCTCTGCTTTAACTAGAGAAGCTCTTCTATCCTGCTCTGCTGCTTCCTAACCACCAACTTCAACAGTTTTCTGTGCCTCAGTTCTGTGCCTCTGTAAGAAGGGGGTAAGAATAGTACCTGCCTCTTAGGGCAATTGTGTCTATTAAATGAGATGATAAGTTCATAATAAGCCCCCAGAAGTATTAGCTGTTGTTAACTCTTGGGCTTCGAAGCTATCTTTATTTTAAAAATGGATTCTGAGTGAAAAAAAGATCTTTATTTAGAACTGAAAGAGATCTTAAATATGGTTCAGATAGATACTGGATTGAATACTTTCTGAGGCATTTCTAGTTTTTGGATTTTTTGGTCCTGTGACAAATCTCTAATAAGAAAATTAGTTTTAGGGGGCCAGCCCCGTGGCCGAGTGGTTAAGTTTGCGCACTCCGCTGCAGCGGCCTAGGGTTTTGCTGGTTCGGATCCTGGGCGCGGACATGCCACCGCTCGTCAGGCCAGTTGAGGCGGCATCCCACATGCCACAACTAGAAGGACCTGCAACTAAGATATATAACTATGTACCAGGGGGACCTGGGGAGATAAAGCAGGAAAAAAAAAAAGAAGAAAATTAGTTTTAACAATTAGTTTACACAATAGAGTGAGTATAAGGGTCTCTATTGGGGCCGGCCCAGTGGCGCAGTGGTTAAGTTCGCATGTTCCGCTCCTTGGCGGCCCGGGGTTCACTGGTTTGGATCCTGGATGCAGACATGGCACCGCTTGGCAAAAGCCATGCTGTGGTAGGCGTCCCACATATAAAGTAGAGGAAGATGAGCATGGATGTTAGCTCAGGGCCAGTCTTCCTCAGCAAAAAGAGGAGGATTGGCAGCAGTTAGCTCAGGGCTAATCTTCCTCAAAAAAAAAAAAAAAAGGTCTCCATTATTTGTAACCATTTCTTCCAGCCCCCTGGCCTTCCTTCTACCTACTTCCCATCCCTTAGCATTCTATTCCTTCCTTACTGCTACATGATACTGTGGTTCTGTGTCATGGAATCCAGTGTCAACATTAGGAAAGGCTCCTTCTGACCATGGTCACACTTTCTTCATCATTGCTCTGGATCATGGTACTTCTCTTTAATGTTTCCTTGAAATAACCTGACAAAGAAACTTCTTTTAATGGTCCCTTTCCAACCCTTACATTTAGGACAGCCAATTTCTACTTCTTTCAATAAAAATGGGCACCACATGATCTCAAAGAAAGGGTAGGAGTCAAGAGAAGGGGCTTTGTTTTTTGTAGGAGATAGAGGTTTAACTGGAGAAGTGCTTTCCTCCTCCTTTGAGCTGTGCAGCGTAGCTCGGATCTCCGTGGGTGCGGGACGAGCAGCTCATCTCCTTGGCAGTGTAAATAAGTACATTACACAGCAGGGAGATGAGGAGTCTGACTTCAGCTATGGCAAATGGGTTGATGGCTTCTCTGTGTCCTTCACTACATTCTAGGGTGGAGAGAGAAGGGGTCATGTCTGGAACCTTGCACTGATCTGTGTCCATGTCTTTTGCTTCAATGCAGGAGCAAGAACTCTGCCTTTTTCAGTGACGAGGAAAGATGGTCTCTGTGGGTCCTGGGAAGTGACAGGAAAGCTGAGTGTGCCAACTTCCTCCACACGCTTGCTCATACTGACATCACGTCTGTCTACCGGCTTAGTGAGTGTTCATTCCTCAGACCCCTTTGAAAGCCCAGGCCCCTCAAAATTAAGAAGCCCTTCCCAACCAGGAATAGAATATCTCTAAATTCTAATCCCACCTGTGAATTTGGGGCTATGACCACTATTCTATTGATGACCTGATCGTATTTGATTAGCAGCACTTTCACTTTAGATTCCAGACAATTCTGGGATTGTGTGGGACACGTTGCCCAGAAACAATGTGATGTGATTAAACCAACTCAGCTTAGCATAGAAGATCAGCCATATTGAGCTATCCATTCTAATCTTGGAGAAGAAAAACTTCCTGAGTTGTGGCTGAGGTCCCTTCTTCTATGACTGAAGTATATCTAGGTCCCTGATGATAAAGGGGGGGCCTAGAATGTTACAGCGAGAAGGACTGTAAGAGATGATTTCTCCTCTCATTTTACAATTGGGAAACTGAGGCCCAAGTGAATTAGTCCCTGAGCCAGGATAAGAACTGCTCTCCCCCATTTTCTACTCAGGACAATCCATACTTCCCCACACTGCCCCTGATGCAAAATGACATTGGACTGCTGGGTGTGCTAGCCTTGGGTGGGTGAGGGGCTTCAGTGCCTAGCACAGTTTTCAGCAGTGTCTGCACGATTGATTGAGTAAATGAATGACACTCCTTTCCCTTACTTTGGGAAGGGCCCACAGCTCTGCGTCGGGAAGTACATTCACCCATTGACAGTGGTTTGAGGAGGGATTCTTGTTTCTCCCACCTCTTCAGTGATGGTGATCTTGTGTCCACTCCTGTGTGGCCAGATTAGATGGGGCATATTTCATGAGCACAGCCAGAGATTCTGCAGAAGGGGTCCTTAGGCCAACTCCAGGGAACGGAGGTGGGAGCTGCTGTCTTTCTCTGTGTGCAAGGAGCATTTGTGACAAGCACCTACCCCAGGCCTCAGTACCAGCCTGGGTAGAGCTCTCTTGCCACAAGCAGATCACACAGCCCCACTAGGCTGAGCCAGGAAGCTGAAGCTACAGATTCTACCTGGTAGGTGAGAGCTGAGGTCTGAAAATGAAGGACGACTTGGGATGCGCCTTGAAGGCAGAATGATGGCACACTTGGATTTCAAGTATCTGCCAACTATTGATCCAATGGTTGGGAGAGATCCAGGAACAGGTCCCATGTGGCCTGTTGCTTCTTATCTAAAGACCAGCAGTGCAACTCTGCTGGGTGCTGGGCTGTGTCTTACATTTGTGCAGTCTGCCCCTAGAACCAAGGCAACCAGCAAAGGGGGCATCTTATCTGTGAATTCTCTCTCCCCGGAGGCCTATGCCCTGGGGTGTGCCTCTCCGCAATTCTTCCTCCCAGAGGGAGCATCTTTTTGTAAGTGAGGAACCATTTGTGCTGTTGGTGGCCCTGGCCTGGGGAGAAATGGCTGCGGTAAGACTAGCACATGTCCTCAACGTCAGTGAGGGCTGGGTGTGTGAATAGCTCTCCAGAGCCCAGCGCTCTAGCTTTCCTATGTTTGGCTGCAGGGCCTTCTACCGTTTGGGGTGTGGATATCAAGGGTCTGCAGTGACACAGAAGTTTTCCCCAGAGAATAGCAGGCAGAGACTTGACTTGGTGAGGGGCCTGCTGTCCTCAAAGTTCACTGGAGATCCCGGGGTTGGGGCACAGGCAGCTGTTGCTTCTCCGCCAGGGAGAGGTGGAATCTTCTCTCTAGCAGCCCCTGTCCTGTGGAGTGTGAATCTGGCCTTCAGCTCCACAGCTCCACTGTGCCTGCTTTAACCAACAGCATTTACTTCTTTGCTGTGGAAACCAAGGTGTCTTCTTCATTCTTACCTCGTCTTGTTTCACTTTTGTGACGTTAGGGGGCTGCACCATATGGCGCCTTGGCCTCTGTGTCTCCCTTTTTCTCTCTGTACCTTTTCAGCCTTCTTCACTGGCTCCCATCTGCCAGCAAATGCTGATGTGCCTTTGGCTCATTCACAAATTGCCTCTCCCTGCTCCTCTCCCACCTACTTTGCTTTTTCTTCCAAATGCTTCTCCTGGGACTTTTACCCACTCTTTGTGTGTGACCTGCACTGGGTCACAAATCTATATTTGCAAGTCTAAACTTTTCTTTTTGGATATAGATCTATTTTATTCTCTGCCTTGAGCTCTTGTGAGTACCGCAAACTCAAAATGCCTAAAACTGGGCTCAAGGCTGCCCCTTCTTTCACCTCGTCCCACTAAGTTACTTCAGGAATCAAAACTAGGACCCTCAGATCCATCTTCTCTTTCTTTCTTCATTATTCACATTTGGTCATCTCATCCTGTCAAATTTACAAAGCACATTGTATACGGTCAATCAATGTCTGATGAGTGGATGGATGATGAATGAATGGGAGAAAGAAGAAGGGAAGAGGTGGTACTCACGGAAATGGGAGGCAATGCCATATGCCACAAAGTGTGCTGCACTTGGCATTCTGTTCCCAGCTCTGTTGTAAACTCACTGAGAGATATGGGCTTTCAGATTCCATCTTCTCCCCATACCTACAGCTCTTGGCATAGAGCTTGTGTTTCCAGCTTTTCTTCTCTGACTCTGGGTCTCATTTATACCTCAGTTTCCAACTGTAAAGTGAAAGTGTTAAAAAGATGATCTTCAGGTCCCCACAGCTCTGAGATGATGATGAAGGGGAGACTTCTGCCCAGTTCCTTAAAGATGGCTGATGGTCTAAAACTTGAACACAAAATCTCTTAAGAGGCCACTAGTCTGGGCTACACCTGCAGGTGTAGGCATGGTGGCCCATTATGACCTAACATCAGATCTGTCCTCCATCTCTATCCAGGTGGGTTTGAATCCATCCAGAATCTTCCAAATGATCTGAGCGGTGAGTAGAGATCATGCTGAACCTGACCTCCAGTCCTTCAGGACAGCAACCTGTTCTCTTGCCAAGAGCTGGCCACCGTAGTTATAGGTGCTTAGGGTTGCTCAACTCTGCCTGTCCCTTACAGCATCCCAGCCTGAAGGCTTCAAGGAGGCCCGGCCTGGTGGAGCCTGGGAGGAGCACCAGGCTGTGGGCTCCAGACAATCCAGCAGCTCTGAGGACTCCAGCCTGGAGGAGGAGCTCCTTTCAGCTGCCTCAGACAACTATCACCTGCTGGAGACTGATGACCTTGATGACCCGGAACTTCTCATGGACCTAAACACTGGTCAAGAGGAGGAGGAGGCTGAGAACTTTGCCCCCATCTTGGCTTTTCTGGATCACAAGGGTTATGCTGACCATTTTAAGAGCCTCTACGATTTCTCCTTCTCTTTCCTCACATCTTCTTTCTACAGCTTCTCTGAGGAGGATGAGCTTGTGGCCTACCTGGAGGCCTCGAGGAAGTGGGCCAAGAGGAACCACATGACCTGGGCCCACGCCCGTCTCTGCTTCCTCTTGGGCCGGCTGAGCGTCAGGAAGGTCAAACTCTCTCAGGCCAGGGTGTACTTTGAGGAGGCCATCCACATTCTCAATGGGGCATTTGAGGACCTATCCTTGGTGGCTGCTCTGTACATCAATTTGGCTGCCATCTACCTGAGGCAGAGGCTGAGGCATAAAGGCTCGGCCCTGCTGGAAAAGGCAGCTGCCCTCTTGGCTTGCCTTCCTGACCGTGAGTCTAGTGCCAAGAACGAGCTTGAGGTGGTGGCCTATGTGCTGCGCCGGGGCATTGCGGTGGGCAGCTGCTCCCTGGAGGCCAGGGCCTGCTTCCTGGCCATCCGATTGCTCCTAAGCCTCGGCCAGCATGAGGAGGTCTTGCCCTTCGCTGAGCGCCTGCAGCTTCTCTCTGGACACCCTCCTGCCTCGGATGCTGTGGCCACCATCTTGACTTTTCTGTATGATAAGAAATATCTTCCACACCTTGCAGTGGCCTCTGTCCGGCAATGTGGTGCCCAGAATGCCCAAGGGATGTCCCTTCCCATTTGGCAGGTCCACCTGGTTCTCCAGAATAGCACCAAGCTCCTTCGTATTCCCTCCTCAAGCTGGGGTGAAGTTTCCACCCTGGCGTGCCCGACACTCAGGCAGGCGTTGGCTGCCTGTGAGGAGCAGGCAGATCGGAGCACCCAGAGGGCCCTGTGTCTCATCCTGTCCAAAGTGTACCTCCAACACAGGTCTCCTGATGGTGCCATCCACTACCTGAGCCAAGCCTTGGTGCTAGGGCAGCTGCTGAGTGAGCAGGAGGCCTTCGAGTCTGCCCTCTCCCTGGCCTGGGCCTATCTCTTAGCCAGCCAGGCGAAGAAGGCTTTGGACATCCTTGAGCCACTCTTATACTCCATGCAGGAGACAGAGAGTGTTACCCAAAAGGGGGTGGTCCATAACCTCCTGGGACTTGCACTTCAAGGTGAAGGCCGGGTGAACAGGGCAGCCAAGAGCTATTTCCGAGCCTTGAACAGAGCCCGGGAGACGGGGGATGTGCGTAACCAGGCGGTGACTTTGGCTAATCTTGGCCACCTGACTCTTAAGTCCCGGGCTCAGTGGCCGGCCAGAGACTATCTCCTGCAGGCAGTCCGACTCTATTCTGAACTCCAGGCCAGCATGGAGACAGACATGGAATTAGTACAGGTGCTTCTCTGGCTGGCCCAAGTCCTGGTGTATGGACGCCAGCTGACCAGCGGCCGCCTCTGTTATGAAACGGCGCTGCTGTTTGGCTTAAGCCATCGACACCTAAAGAGTGAGTATGGCTGGGGCTGCTGGGAAGCTTTCGAGAAAAGCATTAGAGCGCATTTTCGCTTTGTCCTAGCTCAAGTCATCTCATTCATGTCCCTGCTTTATGTTCAGGTCAGCTTCAGGTCACCAAATCCCTCTGCCATTTCTACAGCTCTGTGTCCCCAAACCCTGAGGCATGCATCACCTACCACGAGCACTGGCTGACCCTGGCTCAGCAACTCAGGGACCGGGAGATGGAGGGGAGGCTGCTGGAGTCCCTTGGGCAGCTCTATCGGAACCTGAACACAGCCAGGTGAGTCCAGACTGAGGGACAGTCCTAGACACATTTTTTTCGTCCTTAAGGAGAAACAGTATTCTTTCCCCTAGGAAGACAAGTTCAAATGCACGTGGTATGTTTATGGCTTCGTGGAAAAGAGGGTGAATGCTGCAGCCACCACACAGTGCAAACTCAGTGCCATCCATAACTTACCAGCTGTGCGACTTTGGGCAAGTTATTTAATTTCTCCCTGCCTCAGCTCTCTCATTGGTTAACGCATGGAACCCTTGGAACAGTGCCTGATACATAGCAAGGACTCAGTTGTGTTGACTTTGTTACAATTACTCATGTGTTTCTGTAATAACCCATCACGTGACCTGGCTGAGGGTGCATAATTCAGAGACGTGGCAGTTACACGGAAGTCTGTGGGACCCTCAGGAGGCCTTCGTTACCTGAGGACAATTGGCATTAGAGAAAGGGCAATAAGTAAATAAATCCACTGAAAGCAGGGGTGTAAAATTTCATGGTAAAAAAAGTTTGTTTGAGACCTTACCTTTAAAATGAAACTGGAACTTATGAAACTAAGTTTATTTTCACCTTGTAGTTAAGAAACTTCGGTTATATTTGCAGCTATGCACTGTCTTAGAATAAACAAACAGTAAAAGAAGTGTTGACTTTTTAGCTTCATTCTGTTGATAAAATTGTATAATGGCATAATGAAACATCCTGTGTTTTGTGACTGGAGTTTTAGTGCTGTCTTAGAAAGGCCCATTTTTGCAAAAATATACCAAAACGTCACTGTTTTCCCCAAAGGCTTCTTTTAACTCTTTGATATTTAAATCCTCCTCCTGCTGATTTTCTCTCCTCCGTCTCTTCATCGGTCTAATCTGCCTGACCCTTGATTGCCAGTGGCCTGGCCTGCGGTTCTGCTCGCTAACAAGCCTCTAATTGATTCTGTTAAATTCTGCATAGTTTGCAAGATATTCAATTTCATTTTACAACAGATTAGCATTGTAGCATTGCATTCATAATTTCAAATGACTTCTAAAATAGAGCAGGGGTAGTTGCTAGTGTTGAGCAGAGAGAGGTGGTTGAGGAGAAGCTAATTAAATGACAGTTTTTGCTTTTCTAGGCAGCAAGGTAACCTTGGGCACCTGGACAATCAGATCTGGAATAATCAGATAGCGAATTCTCTCTCTCTCTCTCTCTGTCTCCCTCTCCCTCCCCCGTCCCTTTCTTACAAGAATCTAGTGTCCTCCAAACCTCCCACTGTCTTTGCCTTCAGTCCCAGGCAAGGAGTTTTGGGCCCTTGCAGCATGTGAGGGGTTGGGAGTCCTGGCGCCAGCCCCGCCGTGCTTCCATTCCAGGACCTCCTAGGAGTTTGGATGGTTCTGGAGCAGATCCAGGAAGCGGGCTTCAGTTAACCTTAGAGATGAGACAGTCGTCTGTTCATGGTCAGACTTAAGGGACTGGAGCAAGGGTGGCAGATACGTGGCAGGCTTATTGCCACCCCTCCCTGTGTGCAAGTTCAGTCTCAGATTAATCACTACTCCCAGCCGTCGCCTACCCCACAGCTGTCCTTTGCTCACTAGCCTCCCTCCCATCTCTGTTGTCAAAAACCACTGAAATCCTAAGGGGGAAGCCGGAGAGAAAATCCTGGTCACTGTCAACACAGACTGCGGAGGCCTTACTTAAGCCAGTGTGAAGTGTCACTCTACTTCCTAGGTGATGGGGGAGATAGAGAGGAGGTAAGGAGTGGGGCTGCAGCTGGTCCACGAAGTGATGGAGGAAGTGGGAAGCTGCAGAGCTGGGAGAGGAGCAGCAAAAGCTGGATTTGCAGTCAAGACACCTGATCCTGCCATGAGCTGATAACGTGTCCTTCAATAAGTCATTTCTTCTCTTGGTTGCTCCATTTATAAAGTTAAATTGAATGAAGTGCCTTCCAGTTCTAAAACGTTGAGTCTAGGGCCAGCCAGCTATGCTATTCAAACACTGGCAATAGCCCTATTAGCACCAGAATTCCTGCATCTTGAATTTTGGGGGGAGATTCTTAAAGTTGTGGTTCTTCTACAGGGCCTTTTAGATCAGAGACCTAAGCTTTTGTGGTTCCCAAGGGCTCTGCAGTAGGGTAGGGATGTCATGGCGTAGTGGCCATAAAGTCCGTGCGGGCAGACATCGTGTCTAGCGTAGGACTTGGCACAGAGGAGGCATACAATACATGTTTGTGTGGGGCAGCCATGTAGTCAGTCAGTTAGTTAGTTAGTTAGTTAGCTAGTCCACTAGCTCACAGCCCTTGAGCTGCAGCTATATGATATGCCAACTTGGCTGCAGGACAGGAGATTCAGATGGACAATGGGGGCGTTTTGCCCGATTCAGTCCCTGGTTTCTTGCTCATGGCTCAGGTAAGGAGAGAAAGGTGCTTGCAACTTGGAGGCAGGCTGTCTGCTCTTCGGTGACAATTACAATAGTCAGAGTGCTGACAGTGGAACCTTAGATGCCAGCAGCCCATTTAGAACCCGGCTTGCGTAGTAACAGCTCCAGAACACAGTGGGTCTTCTCTTAGGGAGTTTCCACTGATAAGGAACCACGAAATGGAGAGTGAATTAGAATATCAGGGATTTCCACCCCAATCAGGAATAAGGTTTTTTTGAAATTAAAGTTGCTTAAAGTTATATTATAATATTTGCTTATGGTACAAAAAAATTAAACCAATATCGAAGGTTATAAGTTGAAAAATAAAGGTCCCCACCCAACTTCCCTTTCCTTAAGACTTTCCAGAAGTAACTGCTTACAGATTTTTAAATACCCACCAAGAAATATTCCATACATGTAAAGATTATATGTGATACATATTCTCTACATTAAATATATGTTAGGTATATAATATGCACATTTTTTACTTACTAAAATGGGATCACGATAAAAATTCTGTTACATAGTACACTCTTCTGTTGTTTGTTTTTTTAATTTAATGATATCACTACAAAATGTTGATCCAGCATTTTATCACACCAGGAGCCCTTCTGATGTGTTAGGTACTGTAGGTAGGAGGTAGGGAATTGAACACTTAGGAAAAAAGTTTCCAAAGAGCTATCCAAAAATGGAGCAGTCCACCCCTTGTGAGAGTGAGGGTGTCATCATTACGAGGATTCAGGCAAAGGCTGGCCAGTCAGAGCTCTTATGGAAGAATTTCCTGAATTAAGCTTTTTAATAATGGCTTTATTGAGATATAATGGCATACCATAAAATTCAGTCTTTAAATTATACAATTAATTGATTTTATATACTTTCACAGAGTTGTGTAACCATCAGCACTATCTAATTTTGGAATATTTTCATGGCCTCCCAAACCCCCTATACCCACTAGCAGTCACTCCCCATTAACCCGCCTGCACTCAGCCCGACAGTCACTAATCTACTTTCTGTCCCTATGGATTTGCCTATTCTGGATGTTCCATATAAATAGAATCATACAAGATATGGCCTTTTGTGACTGGCTTCTTTCACTTAGGGTAATGTGTTCAAGGTTTATCCTTGTCACCTGTGTCAGTAGTTCCTTCCTTTTTATTGCTGCCTAATATTCCATTGTATGGCTATATTGCATATGTTTATCCAGTCATAAGTTGATGGACATTTGAGTTGTTTCCACTTTGTGGCGACTGTGATTAATGCTGCTATGAACATTTGTGAACAAGTTTTTGTGTGAATATACTTTTCTAATTCTCTTGGGAAGGGGATTCTCTTGGGAGTGGAATTGCAGGGTCATATGGTAACTGTGTATGTAAACTTTTGGGGAACTGCCAAAGCAGCTGCACCATTTTACCTTCGTATAGCAATGTTTGAGGGTTCCAGTGTCTCTACATTCTTGCCAATACTTGTTATTATCTGCCTTTTTTATTTTAGTCATCCTAGTAGGTGTGAAGTGGTATCATATTGTGGGTTTGATTTACATTTCCCTAATGACTGAGGATGTTGAGCTTCTTTTCATGTGCTTACTGGTTATTTGTATTTCTTCTTTGGAGAAATGTCTATTCAAATACTTTGACTAGTTTTTTTTTTGGAAGATTAGCCCTGAGCTAATTGCTGCCAATCCTCCTCTTTTTGCTGAGGAAGACTGGCCCTGAGCCAGCATCTGTGCCCATCTTGTTCTACTTTATATGTGGGACACCTACCAAAGCATGGCTTGCCAAGTGGTGCCATGTCTGAACCCGGGATCCAAACCAGTGAACCCTGGGCCACCGAAGCAGAATGTGTGCACTTAACCACTGCACCGCTGGGCCAGCCCCCTTTGCCCAGTTTTTAACTGCATCATTTGTCCTTTAATTTTTCAGTTGTAAGAGTTCTTTATATATTCTGGATAAAATCTGGATGTATCAGATACAGGATTTGCAAATACTTTCTCCCAACCCATGGGTTTCTTTTCTTTCTTTCTTTTTTTTGCTGAGGAAGATTCACCCTAATTCATCTGCTGCCAATCTTCCTCTTTTGTATGTGAGAGGCTGCCATAGCATGGCCACTGATAGATAAGTGGTATAGGTTCGCACCTGGGAACCGAACCTGGGCTGCCAAAGTGGAATGCACTGAACTTAACTACTAGGCCAGCAAGGTTGGTCCTCTTTTCACTTTCTTGATGGCGTCCTTTGGCAACACAAACATTTTTAAAGTTGCTGAAGTTCAATTTATCTGTTTTTTCTTAATCATTGCTTAATCCAAGGTCACAAAATTTAGCCCTATTTCCTTTTAAGATTTTTGTAGTTTGAACTCTTACATTTAAGTCAATCAGCCATTTGAGTTAATTTTTGTGTATGGTGTAAGGTAGGGTCCAATTTTGTTCTTTTGCATGAATATCCAGTTGTCCAAGTACCACTTGCTGAAAAAATTCTTTTTCCCCATTGAATGTTTTTGGCACCCTTGTTTAAAATCAATTGACTATAAATGTAAGGGCTTATTTCTGGATTCTAAGTTCTACTCTATTGATCTGTATGTCCAGCCTACGCCAGACTATACTGTCATGTTTATTGCAGCTTTGTGGTGAG